GACACTGTCAGAGGGGGTGACACCAAAATGTTTGCAAAATTTTTGTCCATTGTTTCAGCAAAAATTGTTATTTCTTATAAAAATAGCCCTGTAGTTAGTTGCAACAAAAATGTTTTTCCAAAAATAAAAATAAATGTTTTTTGTAAGCCCAGATGACATGTATCGATATACCTACAAGGGTAAAACTCTATGCTAATTTACTTTTTGAATCTTCTCATTCTGCTCTGGTCAGAGCTGTCATTATTACCCAATTACAATGACAGCTTCCAATTACGTGGTTTCCTGTGGGCATGCTCAGCTCTGTTGTTTCCCGTTGCTGCCAGTGTTTTTATAGTCGCTGATTTTGTCAAATTTTCTGGTGTTTTAGCTACAATATTGTAGTAATTAGCGTGGGGAGAGTGACACCATGAGTTACCGCACTGGGTGACCCCAACCCTAGTGATGCAGATGCCCCACCCAAGCCTCTCCAGAAAAAAATGAGGCTCAGTCTAGTGGCCATGGGAGTACTGAGTACTGACAGGGTGTGGGGAGGATATTGAGGGCAGGTAGGGAGCAGCCTGATGGCCTTGTTGAGGGAAAACTGGAGATACGACAGGAAGGAATGTGTTGCTGGGGGAGGCATATATCTCCTTTTCCCTGACCTGGTTGGGCCTTTTCTCATTGCCCTGCCTCCTCCTACAGTGCTGTGTTCTGACCGACCCCCACCAGTTAAGAAGATCACCCAGGAAGATGTCCAAGTGATGTTAAGTTTACTGGAGGAGGTGCGTGCTGCCTTCCCTTCCCAGGCCAGCCCCAGGCCCTCATTTTGATTCTGTCCTGTGGGGTAGGACTCCTGTCTCTCTCTTGCCTGGCCACCTCTCTGGGGTGCCTCTCATGGAAAGCAGCAGAGTGGGGTGTCCAGGCTGGAAGAGCTCTTAAGCCCATCTGGTCTGATCTGCTCTTTCTCCATAAGGGGAAATTGAGTCAGGTTAATGGCAGACCCTGATCTAGTGCCCTGGAGAACTAGGGAATTGGAAGGGTTTCCCCTGGTGGTCTAGCCTCCCTCTGATCCCTGTGTCCCCCAGCTTCTCCTACCTGTTTGGGAGACCCCAGGAATCAGGAAAGTATTCCTCTTGGGGGTGGTCCCCCTGCAGAGAGAGCGGGACCTGAGTACAGCCAGTCCCTGCTGAAACAGAACAGTGCTCTGATGGAGGAGAACAGCAAGCTGGAAGCCATGCTGGGCTCGGCAAGGGAGGAGGTAATGGGCGGAGGGTAGGAGGAAGAAGTGTGGCATCTCTAGACCTACCTATAGTCCCCTCATGCGAGGACCTGGCATCCTGCCCTGCCAGCTCCCCAACTCAGGGCTTCTCTCCCATCCTGCCAGATTTTACACCTCAGACACCAGGTGAGCTTGCGGGATGACCTCCTTCAGCTCTACTCAGACTCTGATGATGAGGAAGAGGAGGAGGAGGAGGAAGAAGAGGAGGAGGTGGGAGAGAATGAGGAAGAGGAAGAAGAGGAAGATCAGCAGTGTGATTATTCCCATGATGCCCCCAAGCCGTGAGTGTCCTACCTTTGCACCTGGGCGGTCCCTTCTCTGAGCCTCAATTTCGCCATTTATATACAGGAATACAGACAGTGTGCCTGCCGGCCGTGTTGCTGGGATGAATTGGGACTGCCACACTTAGCCTAGGTGGGGAATACCTGAGTGGCTTGGTACCTGGATACCCCCACTCCCTGCACGCCAACTCCCATCACTCCCTCCACTAGGACTCCGCTGAAGGAGTCGCTGCACCACTGTCCACAGCTGGAAGCCCTGCAGCAGAAGCTGTGGCTGTTGGAGAAGGAGAACAATCAGCTGAGAGAGGAGGTGAGGGTCAGAGAGGGGGGCACCCCCACAGGCGGGGGTGGGGGGAGTTGACACCCCTGCCCCTTCCTCTCTCCCTCCCTCCAGGCCGCCCAACTTGACACCTTGGAGGAGGAGGAGCAGATGCTCATTCTGGAATGTGTGGAGCAGTTTTGTACGTGATGCTGTAACTTGGGGGAGGGGATGTTCCCTAAGAGTGGAAGGAAGGACTCAGGATTTGGAGTCTGGACACCTAAATTTAAGTCCCAGCTCTGACACTTCCTATTTGTGTGAGCTTGGGCAACTTCCTTGACCTCTCTGAACCATACTACCTTCATCTTTAAAATGGGCATTCATTATCTTGGGTCTCGGCCCTGCTGAGCTCTCCAGGGGTTACAAGGATCAAGAGAAGCAACAGCTAAGGAAGAGCTTTGTGCAAATTGTAAAATGCTATACAGAAGCTCTGGGTATTCTCTAAGCCTGTCTGTTACTGTTATTTGGGGTGAGGGAAGGGAGGAGCGTGGAAGCAAGGCAGGGATGGAGCCAAGAGCTGCCAAAGACCTGACTCCCCAACGCAGTGGGGCGGGGGCAGTTCAGAATCATGCATTAGGCAGCGGTTGTGCCTGGCTCTGTCCTAGGCACTGTGAGTGAGGGAGGCACGGCATTTGCCCCTGGGGAGCTCAAGTCTAGCTGGGGAAATGCAGACCCAAGGTGGCAGCAGCCAAATTCATGCTGTTCCCCTCACCCCAACCTGACCTTCCTTCCCTGGGTTTCTCAGCTCCCTGAATAACCCCCCTAGCCCCCAGGCCCTGGAATAGGAGCCAGCCCTCACGTTCTGCTGCTTCTACCTCTCAGGCATTGCTCAAGTCTCCTCCTTCTCGCCACTCCCACTACCTTTACCCAGGCTACCTCAACAACTGCAGTAGCCTCTTCACTGGCTCCCCTGCCTCCACTTCTGCCCTTTCAGGCCCTTCTGCACACAGTGTGAATGAGTAAACTAATCTGATCATGTCACTCCTCTGCCTAAAACTCTTCAAAATAGTTTCTTATTGGCCAAAGGGTGCATCCCAGCCTCCCTACCATTGTCTTTGTGCTCTGGGCCCAGCCATTCACCTCCTATGTCTTGTGATGATTGCTTCTGGGCCTTTCCACACTCTGTCTGGGCTGGTGTCCTCCCTTCTTTGCCTGGCCGAGCCCCACTTGCCCTGCAGAGGTCTTAGCTTAGCAGTCCCTTCCTCCAGAAAGCCTCCCCAGACCTTACAAGGCTAGGCTGGGTGCCGCAGCTATATGCCCTGTACACCTTTTATACCTGCACCTTCTTAGCCCATGCTGTACATTATTGTGATTTCTTTTTCCCAGCTGTTTCTGTACTAGACTCGAGCTCAGTGCAGGTGGGACCAGGTCACACTGACTGCTCACCCCAGTGTCCAGCCCAGGGTCAGCCAATAAACATATGTGGAAAGAAGACCTGACTGAGAAATGCTAAGCCTTGTGGAACCCTCTGGAACTCCTCAGGAGCTGAGGGGTAGGGGTGAGTAGAGGAGTTTGGGAGGACCAGAACTGGTCCCCGAAAGCCAGGGGAGTGAGGACTGACCTTCCCTGCCTGGCTCTTCCTCAGCGGAGGCCAGCCAACAGATGGCAGAGCTGTCTGAGGTACTGGCGCTCAGCATGGAAAACCATGACCAGCAGCAGAGGGAGGTCGGCCAGCTGCGGGCCCAGGTCATGACACTGCAGCAGCGCTGCCAGTTGGTGAGTGGGGATGTGTGCATGGCTCCCCTCCTCCTGTCCTGGCCCCACGGGACCCAAGCCCCCTTCTCATGGAGCCCTCAACTCCCAGCTCAGCCAGGCCCACTGCCCTTCTCCATGTCAAAGTCAGAGTTGAAAGAGACCTCAGGGAGCCCCTCATCCTGCCCCCTCATTACACCAAGGAGGAGATCAAGGTCCAGAGAGTGTCACAAGGTCTGCCAGGAACCAGGCTGCAGGACTCTCCTGCCTTATTTGACCTCTTGTGTGACTTCTTACTTAAGGGGCTGCCAAAGACTTACTAATGTACTGGGAAGACTTTCTAGAAGCTGAGGGTGCACGGGAGTGGGGGAGGTTCTGGCAGGGGTTCACTGGTCTTGGGTCCTTCCAGTATGGGGCCGAGATTGAGAAGTTGCAGCAGCAGCTGGCATCGGAGAAGGAAATCCAGATGCAGCTCCAGGAAGAGGTGAGGTCCTCCTTGACTTCTGCCCCAGCCCTTGTGAGCCCCTGGCACAGAGCAGCGACCCAAGGTCATGGTCAGCTGCCTGGCTGTCATGAGAAGACAGCACCTCTCAGGCAGGGATGAGATCGTGTCCCTTTCTGCACCCTCAGTGTCTGGCATAGGGCCTGGCAGGTGGCAGGGCACCCTGCATGTTACTCTTTGGGTCTGGAGTCCAGGCCTCTTCTCTCTTACCTCCCCCAGGGGAGAGGGTGGGAGAGGTGTGCTGGGCTGGTGGGCCTGGGTGAGCCTGTGGGCGGGTCCCAGCTGCAGGACCTGCGGGAGAAGTACATGGAGTGTGGGGGCATGCTGACTGAGGCCCAGGAGGAGGTGAAGACCCTCCGCCAGCAAGCCCAGGTGTCCGCTGGCTCTGTCATCCACTACACATACACCATGCCGCTGGTGAGGACCCTCCCATGGCTGTCCACCTTCCCCTAGACACCCTTCAGGGATCAGGCACCCTGACGTCTGGGTGCTCTGTATGTCTCGGCCCTGCTGGCTGGTTTCTACCCTTAGCCCTGTTCTGTGCCTGGATGAGTGGTGGGGTTCTATAGGGGTCCTCTGGTAATGTCCCCCTTCTCCACTGCAGGAGGCACTCCCTGGCTTCCAGGAGGCCCTGGCTGAGGAGCTCAGAACGTCTATAAGAAGGATCGTATCAGACCCCGTGTTTTTTATGGAAAGGTGCATTACTGAGATGCCCAGCCCCTGCCTGCCCCCCACCGGCCCCCGGGGGGAGGCACGGTTCCCATGGCAGGGCGAGGGCTTGCCCTCACCCTCTAACCCTCTAACCTTCCTTTTCCCATGGTGCCCCTCCTCCTGCTCCCCTACAGCCATTCACTGCCCAACCTCTTCCACTCACCACCCTTTTCTCTGTCCGCGTGGTCTTGGGCTGTCATTTCTCCCTGGGATTTTTGCATGGCTGGGCTCCAGGGGCTTGGCGGTTTCGGCTTCCTCTGCCTCTGTACAGTGAAGGCCCTTTTCTCTGTTGAAGGAATTGTGAAAGAATGGCAAGGAAGCCTTCAGACCTAGGGTAAGCTTGCCAGGGGATCTTCCATCATCTGCATTCACCTTCCAGCAGCCAGATGACTCCCTACAGCTGGCTCTGTGACCCTACACCCATGGAGAAGTCCCCGCTCTTTGGGCTGCGGGGATGAGAGCTGTTCTGGGAAGGAGCTGCCCCCTTTTCCCTCAAATCTTGCCCCATAGGTGGCCGCCTGATTTAAGGGTGCTCTGAATGGGGACGGACGCCTTTCCTTCAGCCGACCAGAAGCTGAGAGGCGAATAAGCACTGGCCTAGAAACTGGGAACACCTGGGACGGAGTCCCAACTTGATCCCTTTACTGGCTGTTTATCCCTGGGCAAATCACTTGACCTGTCTGAGCGTTACTAAAATGGACTTGTTCCTATGGCAACTAGCTGTGAGGTGGGAAGTGAAGGTTAAATCATGAAGGAGGGAGGCTGATGCGGTATTATCCCTGCTTGTCTCTTCCATGCAGCAGGGGAGGGGTGCTAGGGGAAGGCAGGGCCCATGTACTTTTGGGGGCCAATCCTCCTCTCTCCCCCAGGAACAGGTGCTGGGTAATTTGAAGCCATGAAGCTTGTACCCAGCTCCCCTCTCCCCTGGCAGGGACAGAGCTGGAGATTAGCCATCAGGGTTTGTGTGTAGACTGGAGGGGCAGGAGAGCTCACAGAGGGGCTGGAGTGGGGGCCGGCTGGTGGTTGGACTTCCCTCCTCAGGCCCTTTTGTGGGAGACGTCCTAGGAGTGTGGAAGCGGGTGGCTGGGGGCTCCAGCTGGAGTTGGTTTGTGGTGCCATGGAAAGACTTTCCTGTCTCTCTGCCCAGATACAAGCAATGCTACCGTGAGGAACGACAGCAGCAACAGAGGTTCGAGGCTGAGGAGAGCTTGACGCCCGCAGAGGATTTTGTGCCACCGGAAGATTTCGTGCATGCGGCGGAGCTAGTGCCTGAGGAGGAGCTGGGGGCCTCAGAGGAGGTGGTGCCACCCGAGGAGGGGGTGATGGACGAGGCTGAGCTGGAGGCGGAGGAGGCTGAGGCCTGGGAGGAGGTGGAGCCGGATCTGGATGAGGCAACTCAGATGAATGTGGTCGCCTCAGCCATGGAGGCCAGCAACTTGGGCCCCTCTCACCTGGACATGAAGTATGTCCTCCAGCAGCTGGCCAACTGGCAGGATGCCCATTGCAGGCAGCAGCTGAGGCAGAAGATGCTCCAGAAAGGTGAGTGCTCCCGTGGGGGCCTCCCTCCAGCCAGCCGGACAAGCTGCAGACTGTCAAGCCGATGAAAGGCAAGGGTGGGTGAGCTCCCCAAGTGCTTACTTACCTCAGCCAGGCCCCACCTAGTGTGCTGATTTGCATAGGCACCTCAGGGCCCCCTCAGTGGGAACTATGGCCTCAATGCTCATTTACATGAAATTTGCATAGAAGTCCAGCTGTCTACCCCCTTTCTCCTGGGGGCTGGGCTGGGGGTCAGGGCTGGGACTGCAGCCCCCCACTGCACCTCAGCTTCCTGTCTCTGCCCACCCCTTTCCCCCACCCTGCTTTCCCCATCCCCAAGGCTCCCCAACCCTGCAGCAGTGGCAGCAGCAGGCCAAAACAAACATGGGGGGGCGGGATCGTGGAGCAGTGGCCTGGGGTGCCCACCCAGGACTTTCGGAGGCTGGAGGAGGACAGGGCCAACAACCCTCCCAGGGCATGGGAGGCAGAGGGACCTTCTGGGGCCACCCAGGCCATTGGGATGAAGGACTCTGCCAGCAAGGGCCACAGTCAGACCAGTCTCCTGGGTGAGTCTGAAGGTGGGCTAGGGTCTCCTGCAGGGTCGGGGCGGGGTGGGTCAGGGTCACCTCCCCCAGCTAGAAAACCCCAAAGGTTGGTGAGCCATACCTAATGAGTGCTGGCCGTACGCGAGGTGGAGTGGGAACTGCCTTTAAGGAGCTCACGGTGATCTCATCGATGACTTACTGACACGTACACGGGTTGGACCCTGAGCTAAGGGTCTAACCCTTTGCATTAATTATCTCCTTTAATCCTACACCCCTGTAGGTAGGTAGGTATTATTATCCCTGTTTATTAGGTAAGGAAACTGAGGTTCAGAGAGCTACAGTCACTAAGTTCAAGGTCACTCAGCTGGAGTGGATCTGAGCCCGTTCTCTTTACTGCTTTTCCATAGGGCCTTCCCCGGCCTAGCCCTCCCCTCTGATCCTGTTCTAGTGCCCGTTTGCCCTACTGTCCTGCTGGGACAGCTCTGAAGTTCATAGCCTATTGGAAGCCTCCACCATGGCCTTCACCTCTGGCCTGCCCACACTGTGATGGCTAGGTGGAACAGCGCTGGTCTCATGATCTCACAGGGCTGCTGTGGAAGGTTGTGCAGGTTATAAATGAATGATGACCTCTATGGCCAGGCAGTGGGCAGCCTGCATAACCATCAGTGGTAGCTCTCTGTCTCCTTCTGATACAGTTGACCAGGCCCTAGCCCCTGCCTGCTGCCCAGGCCAGGCCTGTGGTCCTCAGGCTCCCAGTTCACATCCACCCCACTTCTTGTTCAGGCTTTGCTGTTTCCCAGCAGTCTGCAGAGGCCCCACAGATAGCATGAGCCCCCTCCTTCCACTGCCTGGCCAAGCCCCACCTGCCCCAGACCCTCTTTCCCATTTTTCCTAAACGAGACCCCCTGTCTGTCCCCAGCCCTCCATCTGTCCTGATGAACCTGGGCCACAGCTTGAGGGCCCAAGCCTCAACCCTCTTCTGGGACAGGCTGAAGGAAGCTTGGCCCTCATTCTGCAGCTGGTGCAAAAGCTGCGGCTGCTGGGCCTGGATCACATGGTGGCCCAGGGGGCAGAAGAAGCCTAGGGGGAGACCCACTAGCTACCAGACCCAGCTCTGAGCTGGGCACAACCGAGCTGTGGGGAGGCTCAGGCCCCAGTGTAGGAGGTTGTTCTGAGTGCCCCAATAGCATACCCTTCACCCCTTTACTCCCAAATCAAAGGTAGCTCCCAAGTCCTTGTTGACTTTTAGGGACCTGACCCCTCTTTCCCCATTCTCTGTACTTTCTTCTCAGGCCCTAGTTACAGTTTTAGCCAGAAGTGTCTCTATGTGTGGGTGAGGAGTCCCTCTACCTGGCAGTGTGCCCTCCTCCCCCCGGCCTGTGACCTGTGACTGTCCAGGCTCCCCTTCCCAGGCCTAGTCACTCCCCTGCCTCAGTTTCTCATTCCAGATGTTCTCTCCTTTCCTGCCCCTTACTCGTAAACAGCTGGGGTCTGGGGCTCAGGACCCTCCGTCGGTACCTGCTCTGCTCCCCACAGTGCTTCTCAGTCTCCTGTTGCTTGTCAGCCTGTGTGTTTGCTGGTGCAGGAAATAAAGGAGCTGTTTGCTACCTGGCCTGGTCTCCATCTGTCTTTCTCAGGGAGTGTGTGTGTGCGTGTGCGTGTGTGTGTGTGTGTGTGGGGGGGGTGCATGTGCTCATGTGTGCTTTGGTGAGGCAAAGTTAGGGAG